CTGATCCCAATAAAACTTGCATTGTTAAATCTTGGAAAAGGTTATCAACACAGTGCAATCTTGTCTTGTGATCCTAGGTGCTGTGTCAAATTGACCATTGTTTGTGTCAAGTCTCTGAGCTAATGTCAGATCAGCTCAGGAGTCAACAGAGTTAGTTTACTCCAAATCTAAGCACTATGCAGAGCAATATTTTACTGAGAGTAATATGCATTCTTGCACAATACTGCCAACTGTAAAGGCAAGTTCTGTATTGAGTAATTTGTACAATAAAGTTGTAAAATGCACAGAGAGACCAATTTAAAAAACTAGCCACCTAAAACCTGAACCTGTTTGTCATGTGCAAAAGACACATTTGTGCCCCAGATGGATTAAAAAACTACTCTGAAGATTATGTTAAACTACAGGTAGATGACTGTAGTGCACAGAATTACTAAGAGGTTAGATGGTCTAGCACACCTTTTTTTCTCAATGACAGACTTTAGTACTACAGCTATGCAATATAACATACTATTGTTCAGTTTCTCAGACAGAGAAAAAATTTTGTCATTCATCCTACAGGACACTTTCTCTTATTCACTTCAATATGCAAGGTACTGCTATTGCCATACCACTTGCATTGTCATGCTGTGCTAATATTAAAGATTATTCCATAGGGTTGCAAGGAAAAGGATTGTCCCAGGGAAAGTAGAATGAATGTACAACTTTTGAGGGTAAATGATAATCAGGAATTCATCTAACATACAGGTATCTAACAAAAAGAAAACCTAGGTTGAAATGTAAAGAGTGCAGAATCACAGAATCACAGAATGTTGGGGATTGGAAGGGACCTCGAAAGATCATCCAGTCCAATCCCCCTGCCGGAGCAGGAACCTAAACAATTTTACACAGGAAGGCATCCAGGCGGGTCTTGAATGTCTCCAGAGAAGGAGACTCCACAACCTCCCTGGGCAGCCTGTTCCAGTGCTCTGTCACCCTCACTGTAGTTTTTTCTCAAGTTTAAGCGGAACCTCCTGTGTTCCAGCTCACACCCATTGCTCCTTGTCCTATCGTTGGGCATCACTGAGAAGAGCCTGGCTCCATCCTCATGACATTCACCCTTTACACATTTATAAACGTTAATGAGGTCTCCCCTCAGCCTCCTCTTCTCCAAGCTAAAGAGACCCAGCTCCCTCAGCCTTTCCTCATAAGGGAGATGCTCCACTCCCTTAATCATCTTGGTGGCTCTACGCTGGACTCTCTCAAGCAGTTCCCTGTCCTTCCTGAACTGTGGGGCCCAGAACTGGACACAATATTCCAGATGTGGCCTCACCAGGGCAGAGCAGAGGGGGAGTCCTCTACTCTGTCCACATTGTTATTCCTCTTTTTCTTCTGATACTAAAAGGAAAGCTTATCTTACCTGGTAATGAACTCTCTGTGTAGTAGAAGTTACCGACTGTAGGTCCTAATAAGAGGATGAAAGACATGCCAATGATGAAAAAAATTAAAGCAATAAGAGCTGTTTGCAGTTCTACTATTTGAAGTGGTTGGGCAAACGTATAATTTTGCAAGTATTTCTCTTTTTTTTTTAAAGTATATTAAACAAACACCACAGAATAGTCATGGAAAGCTCACTTACAGTTTAGATTTGCATGCATTTGTTCTTTTTTTTTTAATATAGAGAGTATGTTAATGTATATTTACCACATCACAGTCCTATTTGTTCCATGAAAACTACCTAAATTTAGAATATCAGCAATAAAATGAAAGAAAACATTCTAAAATCCATAAATCATTTTTACAAATATTTCTGAATAATTAGTGCACTGAAGAAAACCACTGACAGTTCTCCCTGTTTTAAGACAAACTCATGTCAGGGACATCCTATCAGGATGACCCTGGTATTTATCAGGGTTCAGGAATCTAATCTATTTTAATAGAGATTTTGTCAAATAGTTTTAGCTCATGACATAGCCTTCCAAAAAGCCTGGCCTACAGATCATAGCTCCCTAGTTAGCATGCAAGTTGTCAGAGTGCAGAAAGCCTTGGCATCTCCATTCCCAACAAATGGGCTTGAGCCAAATCAAGCACACAAAAAAGGTAGCACAAATCCTGTAAAAGGTTGGGGAAAATACAGTTCCTTCACAACCACTATGGGTAATTCAACCAGAACTTCCAGCTGTGCTTCCTCCAGGGCTGTACAACTACTCGTCACCCAGTGCTGGCCATATTAAGTTGGCCAAGCTCAATCTGAGATCACATTTGTAATCTGCTGAAAACATCATCACTATTATTTCCTTGTAATTTTCCATCACGAGATACCTCAAATATGCATCACCTTAAAATAAGGTTTTATGTTTGATAGTAGTAGACACACCTCGGGTCTAAATGTTCGGAAATGAATTTGAGGAAGGGAATCCTGGCTGAAATGCAAATGTAAAAAAGTGAAAGCCCCTATTCAGGCTGCAACTGCAGAGTTTCAAAACCACAGGGAAGTCAGTGGTTCCTGAAGAGCTCAGGAGGAGGGATGAGGTTCATAGCTCCTATATAAGTTGGACCATCTATCTAGAAACTTATGTAATGCACTCACACTTGTACATGTTGTTGAAAGATATCAGTAAAAGATTTAAAAACAGTCAGAGATGAATGAAAATCTATTAGCTTTATCACTAAATGCATGCACACTTAAAATTGTTCAGTTAATGGGGCATTTGGAGTCTCCATTTCCCAGACTATATTGTAGAATGAACTGTTGTGAGGCAAAGTGTTCAAGACAATAAGAGCAATATTATTAATAGCTGCATGAACATACATTTCTGCGTATTTAAAAATAGCTAGTTGATATTTGTAGTGTTTGTTTGTGTGTCAGATTACTCCATAACAGTATTAAAGAATGACATTTGCATAATTAAACCCACTTGAATATTTTTCTCTTACATAATGCACCTTCTAATCACTAATTTGTGTAATTTCAGCAAGGTACACAGAGAATCCTGGTATTCTATTCCAATACAACAAGAAGTAAACACACCCATCTATGTCAATTCTGTTACAATTTAAAAGGAGTCAGTATGACTTTTCATTTCCTGTCTAGAAAATATTTTTCAGTGCTACTCTTGTTTTCATTATCATAGCATAACTCTAAAGTTTTCTTCTCAGTGGTAAGCAAACTGCAATACTCAATATATGGCTGTTGCAACTATTAGACCTACACGTTCAGAACTGAGAAAAGCATTACGTAGATTAATATATGACATATGAAGTCACAAAAACCTCACCTCTTGTAGACGGTCAATGTACATACGACAGGTCTCCAAGTCACAGTCTCCTCGTACAACTATAATTCCTAGTGGAATGGCTGGAAAATCAAAAATAAAGAAAAAACCTCTAACTAAAGTCTATTGAACTTTAAAAATTTGCAATATGCTTCAGGTTTGGGGATTTTTTAATAATGTTCTCAAAAAAGCTGTCTGCTATCTAAATCTTAATAGTCATTTAAAAGCAAGAACATATTGTTAGTTTCACCCATTTATAATTATCAAAGGTTCTGGTTTTCAACAGTCTTTCCTACTGAAAAAGCTAAACCAGATTCAGTTAAATTGTATACTTCATCTGATGTCAACAACAACTATTAACTGTGAAGAAAGGAACATATCCCAGAACAAGAGTTTAGGGAGGTTCTTCTATACATTGAAAGAAGAGAATGATATTTCATTTTCAGAATTCTTGAAAGTTTATAAAAATTATTTCAAGAAATGAAGGTTATATCCTGAAGTTACAGTCTGATTTCAGATAAAACTGGCCAGAACCATGTTGTTTTGATGTAAGACTGCTTTCAAATCAAAACAGACATTATGCCACCTACAGACAATATTGACACATCTCCTCCATATTTTTTCAGAGAAAAAAAGAGAACTTGTAAAAATACAGCAAATAATTCCCCCCAGCCGAGAGCAGCATTTTTAATAACAGGGCATTTGAGATTCCACAATCATTCTGGTTTTGCAGTCAAAAAACCCCAAATGAAACAAGCAAAAAAAACCCCCAAACCAACAAAACAAACCCCAAAAAGAGCAGAAGATAAAAAAGTATACATGAGTCCACAAAGAAGGTACCAGGAGAGCTACCTACTAAGATCTCATTAAATAAAAAGAAAACAAGTGAAAACCCTTGAGTACCTGATTTTCTAAAACTGAATCACTGAATGTAGGGGGGTTTTTTAAGGGTCTAAGTTTTGGGGGGGGTTTTAGAGGGTCTTTAATCAAACAATGGCCAAAAACAGTAGGGGAGTAGCAGGAAAGAGATTTAAATCTTCATCTGAAGTATTACAGAGGGAGAGTGGAATATCAACTCAAACAGTTTTGGAAACTGGATAACAAGAAGCAATATAAAGTCACTGACAGTTCTGAGATAAATAGGAAAAAACAAACAACCAAACACACAAACAAACAACTGTGCTGCAACCCCTCCTGCTGTTCAAAAGCAGCTGATTAGGAAGAGAGATTTATCTACTGAGATGCTCTTCATCCTGATAAAAGAAAAAGACAGTACTAAAAGATAATGGGGAACTTGGCTTATACAGTGTGGCCCACCAAGGCTAGAAGCACAAAGAGAAACTCCATGGTCTCATGGAGGAGAGAAGGGGAGCACCTATGGCAATCAAGGTCATGATGGGCCTCAGAGGTCAGTGCAGGGCTCTGGGGACACATCAATAATGCTGCCAGCATTGTGTTTGGAAAGCAGTTTGAAGAGCAAAACAGCTGTGAATCCAGGAAAACTAGAAGCAGGGAAAAAAAGCTGGAGGAAGAAACAAGAAAATAAAGAAAGGATAGAGAGGAAGACCAGGGAAGACCTCACAGTTCTGAAGCAGCACTGACATCCGATAGTGACGCCAATCCACCTGCTAATTTTCAAAAAGGACAGAAAGGAACAGTGCTCATTGTGACCTCCCAGATTTTTTTCATTCCAAAACAGACTGAGGAACAAGCAAGTAGAACAAGGGTCAATCACAACATTTGCTTTACGCACTCTGACACTCTGGGTTACAGACTGATTCTCTTTGCTTAGTGTTTATTATTACTTAATCTGCTCTGACAGGAGACCCTTAAGTTCTTTGTAGACAGCACTTAGTGGCTATCTACTTTCAGTTCAACAGATCCCTCTGCAGCCCTTACTGAAGGAAGCATTGATTAAATTCATTTAGAGCACTAAAAAGTGAATTGCAGCAGACATGACTACACCTCCAATAGCTACAGAGCACTAGGGAACCACATCACTGGATCATAAACTGTCACCACTGATTTTGTTTCTTTTTTATTGAAATCTTTCCTTCATGGAGGAGTATATGCACTTAACAGGACCCAGAGCTTTGACTTGCTGAAACAACACAGCTAATACAGAACTGAAATCCGTAATTATCACCATTCCTAACAGCCCAAAGGAGAAGAAACTTATGAACATTTGGAATTCTAAAGAAATTCATCAAAATGTCTGAAAAGAAAAAACTAATATGCAATAGGTAGCTTAGCAGTGACATTTATGGGTCTCAGCTACACAAGTGAAGAAGAATGTAACGATTCACAGGTTTAAATTATGTCCCATCTATTCTTGGTGGTCACAGAACAATCCTGGAATTCTGGGCTAGTTGCCTTTGTTCTTAAAAAGAGACGTGGAACTTTTGCTGGATGGAAATCCTAGATTAGCATGACCTATGGCTTTATGGGTCAATGGTTAGCTAAGGGATAAGGTACATGAGGTGGGTCTCAATTGGTTGCATTCCATATGGTTCATGCTCATTTGAAAAACCTTTTAAGTCATTACTAGATAACACTACAGTATATGCTAAAATGTAGCTTGCCAAAATTTTTTTTGTGGTGGATTTCTTTTGGTTGGTTGGTTGGTTTGATTTTTTGCAAGACCCGTTTGGCTTTCAGCAAGGAAAATATTCCATCTTCATTTTTATCGTAAACCACAGTAAGTATGCACAACCCACCATGCTGCCAAGATTTTAAAAGTGTTTCACAATAGTTGCTGTTTGAAAACAAAAGCAAATCCTTAATGATTGATAATAGGATTGAAACAGTGGGATTGTTTCTCATTCTAAATGTAGGGCAATGCTGTGCAATAAGAGAAAAATGAAGTAAGTTATGATGAAACAGTTAAAGGCACAAAGTTACCATGCGTGGCATCCTATGTCATTGTGGGCGCTTCCATTCAGGAATAAATGAACTTCTACCTTTTCTGAACAGCCCTATATGGATGAGGATGTGGACAGTACAGAACAGTGCTGTAGGAGACAGTGATTACCAGGTATACCAGGTCAGACATGGGAGGACAAAGTCTTACATTAAGGGCACAGGCACTGCAGAGCAACTTTCCCATACACAGTCCACTCCTGTGGATATATGGATATATCCAGATAGGGGAATATGCCAGAAATAAAGGACAGTCCCAGATCATAAACCAAACCTCAGCATTCAAGTGCCAGATATTTTTCTCCTGAGGCACTTGCTGTTCTAGCCCCTTGCATCCAGCTCCCAGTTTCTTTGTGCTCCCTGAATGGTGAAAAGGACTTCGTCCAGGGAGCTGTGGATACAGACCCTAATGCTGCACTGATGAGCAGCAGTACAAGAACTCCAGGAAATGAAACAGACAGACACTTGCTTCATAATCTGCACCAGTGCTGTGGAAAGTGTTTTGTTCCCAGCAACACTAACCAAAATAGAGTATCAGCAGGAGGAGGGTGGGCTAGGTACAGCAGTATGGCTAGCATGATGCTTGAATTGACTACAAGTCATGTAATGATAGCAATGATTTCTTAAATCCTCATGAAATTAGCTATGGAATTTCAGACAGACACTTGCTTCATAATCTGCACCAGTGCTGTGGAAAGTGTTTTGTTCCCAGCAACACTAACCAAAATAGAGTATCAGCAGGAGGAGGGTGGGCTAGGTACAGCAGTATGGCTAGCATGATGCTTGAATTGACTACAAGTCATGTAACGATAGCAATGATTTCTTAAATCCTCGTGAAATTAGCTATGGAATTTATAAATAAATAAGAAATCTCACACCTATTAACTGACCATTATGCTGAATACTAAAAGCTAGTGAACTCTTTAATAGCACTGACAACACAAATGGAAGAAGCCTGAATATACTGCAAGTGACACCATGAAGAAAAAATAAAATTCAATTACCTTCCCCATTTATTGTTATGAAAGGATTCAATTTGTGGTCTAAACATCATGATTAACCCACTCAAATCCCAAACAAAACAGCCTCAAGAAAGATCATTAAGGTAGATGTGAATGCCAGGAAAACTCATTCCGAGCCTGACATGCCTCAGGGGACTAGGGAGATTAGATACTAGGTTGTAAATGTTTAATGTAGCAAATAAAGGATCCTCAATACTGAAGATGTAAGAAAGTCATTTTCCTGAGGGGTGAACAGACGAAGTAAATTCTTGGGAGACAATTCTAAAATATTCATACATTTAAAAGTTTTTGCTTTCCCTGTATGGTTTTAATACAACTGAGTTTGTACAAAAGGATTTTCCTACCACACAAATCTAAGCTATGTGTCTCTTCGGATCCCTTTGTTTATTATACTGACAAAAACTAAGCCTCCTTAGGCTCATTGGTTGCTAGTTTTCTTGGCACTAGTGGTCCAACTTTAAAATCTTCACATCAGGAAGTAAAACACAATGGAGGTTATCAGACTAAACCAGACCACATTTGAGAAGGTAGGTGGTTATCCCCTTCAGGCTTTCAGTGACGTCTCTAATACCCTGCCACAAAAAGGAAGAAGCTGCCCAAGCCAAATGAAGACAGAACGTGTCCCAGATGCCACACAAAAGGAAACGGGTTATAGAAAGAAAAATATTAAGAGCTGGGAAATGAAATAGCAGGGAATGGCTATCAGGACTAAGAGCTGAAAGAAGAGGTCTGGCTGAAAAATGAGTAAGGGTTTAGGATTAAGAAAAGGAACAGGAACCTGAACTGTGAGATCAGCATAAACAGACTAAGACAAGCAGGAAGGATGTGAGTGGGATGGGATAGCCAAAGGGGACAACCAGGACTGAAAAGGTAAGAGGAAATAAAATCAGAAAAGTGATAGGAAAGGAAATGGAGGAAGTAGCATATGCACAGAAAAATCTCACAGAAAAGTCTATACCAGAAAGAAAAACTATAGCAAGATTTCCTGGAAAGGCTGAGATGGAATTTAATATTCATGTATCTCCTCACTCCTCTAGGGTAAATATATGTTTACATCTATTTGGAACACTGTCCATCTCTTCTAGTTTAAAGGAGATGGCAAACTTACAAGTGAGTTTCCCCACTAGCTGAAAACGCAGAGG